CCCCATGCCATGTCCACACACAGTGACACCAACTCAGCTCAGCCCTTAGCCCTGGGGAGACCTGGATGCAGCCAGGGCACCAGCTCTGGACACACCTCTGAGGACACAGCTGGGTTCAGACCCGGCTCCCCCGTCAGCAGTGCTGTCACCCTTGACAAGCCATGTGCTTTCAGTGTCTCCCCAGTCCCCCATCAGTGCAGAGGGCATCATTCAGGCCCCTGAATCCTAGGTAACCCATATGTCTATAGACACATAAATGTCCACTGCATATGTCACCCCCATGGGCTGGGATCACAGGGAGCTCGCGCACAGACCTAGCAAATGAAGGAGACCACACAGGGCTGGCGGAGCGCAGAGCACACCCTACACAGGCTGGGGTCTGCCCTGAGGAATGGGGAAAGTCACCCTTCTTGCCACCTGCTTCCCAGCTCCCTGTTCCCAGGTTGAAATTAAATACAATTCTGAAATTGTCCACTCTGGCATACAACCTCCTAAGTCATTCTGTCATGTTCAGATTCAGGCTCAGTGTCTCATCTGGGCCTCTAGGGTGAGCTGCCCCACAGTGTCTCCCTGCTTGTTTGCCTTCTGGTCACACGTCCTTGTGTGAATACCACACCTTCCCCTGCAGGGTGGATGGACATTGGGACCAGGTTCTGACATGTAGACTGACTTGTGTAAACGTGCATGACTTCCACACATTCCCAGCTCCAGTGTTCATTCTTTCTCTGTCTCTCAGTTCTTCTCTGTCTTGTCTCTCTCTGTTTCTCTCTCTCCCTCTGCCTCTCTGTGTTTCAGCCTGTCTCTCTCTTTCCTGTATGTATGGATGCATATGTTTACGTGTATATGTGTGTATTCATATGTGTGTATTGTTAGGGCGGAGGGCAGATCACTTCTGAAAATGTCTTGATGACATATTATGTGGTATTCATGTTACTGAAGAAAAAAAATCTTTGAAAGTTGTGAAATTACTTTGGTGGGATCAGCTCTAAGGATCAGTACCGTTGGGGAAGGGATGAACCTGTGGCTCTTTGATGTGTCCTGCACACTGTTCCCCCAGAGAGGAGCGTCTGTTCTCTCTTCCCTCCAGGGGACCTGCTGGGAACTCTGCCTCCTCACGTTGTCACCAGGCAAAAGACCTGCCAGTGCGATGGTGACCAGGGCTGCCTCCACAGTGTGTCCGTCTGCCTGTGTCCTTAACTGAGAGGTTGAGCATCTCGAGCACACTGGCCACCTGCACTGCCTCTCATTGGAACTGCCTGTGTGTGTCCTGTTTCTTTTTAGAACACTGGGTTTCATGAGGTTTTTGGCCCATAGGGATATGAAATCTTTCTCTGACCTTGGGTCATGAAGAAAGATTTTTCCACATTGTGGTTTGGCTTTCCAGCTGTCTTTCTTGGCCTTTGGTTTTTGGTTTTGTTTGATTTGTTTTGCCACAGGAAGAGCTAAGCATCTCCTTTTTGGCTCTGGCTTCATAATTAGAACAGCAGTGTCTACCCCCAAATGATACACAGAGTTATTAGAAGGGCTTTATTTTGTACATAACATCTTTAATTAATCTGGATTTTTCCTTTCAAAATACAAGCATGCTAATTCATGTAAACACACAAAAAAATCACCAGTCCCCTCTTAAGGTATGTGGGCACACACAAAAAGCCACCTTTTATATGATTTCATTAACAGGGAACCTCTAGGATAGGTAAAGACACAGAAAAAGAAAGGGGGTTGGGGTTTTTCACGGACTGGGGGAGGGAGGATGTGGGCTGTGCTTTGAATAGAAGTTTTTACTTTGAGGAAGGAAAACAGTGGTGTTCGTCTCACAGCATTATGAGTGCACTTAATGCTCCTGAATTGCAGAATTTTAAATGGGAAAAGGCTAAACTTTATTCTTGTAAACTTAAAACATATAACTAGATGTTACTCTAATAGTAAAGAAC